TACTTGTACACATCACTCTAAAAACGGTTATGTGGTTCGAGGTCCAATGATTATAATATTTGCCAATCGATAGCCCAAACATAAATTTCCGGTGCGAGTAGCCGTGTATGGGACAGAGGTGGGCGCACGTAAGCGTAATACATTGTGATTATTTCAATATTCGTGCCGAAATAATATTAATATTAATCATTGCAATGTTTACAATTAACAAAAATGGATACTGAATAAAACGTTCACCGATCGCTTGGCAGTTGGTATAAATAGTGAAGGTAGAAGGTACCTATCTAGTAGTGCTAAACTACGAGCGTTGACGGTTTGGGCGAGTGTAACAGTTTTGACGAAAAAATCAATAACCGATTCGGACAACCAATATGTTTTACGACTGGTTGCGAGAGTGAAATTAGTTTTACCTGTGCGAGTGATAAGATATGAACTTTGATGTGGACGATATTACTATAATACCAGTGTCGGCAGTATATTTTTTAAAATTAAAGTAATAGTCAATATATAGAGTCCACTATTAATTGATGTTTGATTATATATCTAATATATATATATATATATATATAAGATTGGCTGTTCACTGCTAGGTACATCACAAATTTATAAATTATAATATTATCATACAACCGTAACAACATTATCTTTCTCAAGTTAAAGTTCATTATTAATTACGTATATTATTATACCTGTGTATGTGATTTAATTTTTTATATTGGCAGTGTGGGTACTTCTATTTCTGCGTATTCTTTTATAAGCTACTTATAGCTTACTTATTCGTCTAAACGTTATTTTTTAAGGAACAAGCACTCGCCCAAGCTATATCATTTCTGGGTCAATTTGCGCTGAATACAGCTCAAGCGGAGCGGCTCTGTAGTTCTCACTTTCTCGGACCGTTCAGCGTTCAGCTCGGACCTGAGACTTAGCGTTCAGCTCGGACCTGAGACTTTGCGTGGTCGCGTCGCTGACTTGCATACGTTACAATTATTATTAATTATTATAGTTATTCGTCAAATGGTGTTAGCGGCGTTAATATTAAACGGTTTTATAACAATATTCATTAACGCGTAGGCGGGCGTTAAAAAAAAAAAAAACCAAAAAAAAAAACCACCAAGACAAAAACCTTACCGATTTCGCAGCAGAAAGCCGCAAACGTGCGTGTCACCTATAAACACGATGCTATATGGTCCAGTAACAGTAATATTACGGACGGGCACCGCCTCGTAGCTGGTGTAGTATAAAGTCGACGCGTAAAATGAATAGTAAGCATAAAGCGTGTGTGCAAACGCGACGAAAAATCGAAAAACGAAAAACGAAACGGAGCCGGATCAATGCAACGGCGCGGCGCGTATGACGTGCAACGGGTATTATTATAAAATTGATATTAATGTGCAAAGATAATAATATTATGTCCAATAATCGCGGTGCACGGTAAACGACGGCGGGCACAGCGAGCGGACACGACGATGAGACGGCGAGAAAAATCTCGAGGGAAATAATCACGAATGACGGCGGACGGCGTCGGTTTAAAAATAATACTATTTCGTGCACCGTTTTTCACACTGGCGGGCGCGAGTTCAACAATATAAATAATTATAATAATATTATGTAAACAGGAATAATATGGATTGTGTAACAAGAGCGTGTCGACGATGGCGCGGACCGTAATACAGACTAGAGACGACCCGAAATCGTCGAAACTCGTATATCATAAACCGACGGTTTGAAGTGCAAGACAGGATAACACGGTCGTAGGTAGTTATAATATTATTATTATATTGTTACGCTTTTGATCGGGCAATAACCACCGCCGCCCGGGAGGCGTTTATATCGCATTACGGTCACAGGCGATGGTTTCTATTTTTTCCTCGTTTACTTCTCTCCCGGCAGACGAACGTCAGAAACCTCAAACCGGTCGTTGTCGTCAGCGTCGCCGCCGCACATGGCAGTCAGTTGTATACGGTACACGCGCAGCCGTCGCGATAACGTGTAACGACTTGAGTGCCGACCCAGCCGCATATAGCAACGACACTGCTTAAACTCTAGATTAAAACGTAAATAAAACCAATAAGGCAATAACCATAAACATAATTCGTATAATAATAATTATCGTTAATTTTACTTATTAGTTATTACTTAGGTACTACTCAACAGTCACTACTCAGTACATAGGTGGAAATGGGGGGGAGGGGGGTGTGATTAGCCTGCATTTTGTCTATTTTGTCAGGTTTCATGTGAAATGTGATTTTATTTGAATATATTTATTTTTTTAGTTCATTTAGCCCACCCAGAAATTTCTATGGATTTCCGTCTATGACTCAGTACTATATCTACTCGGTGAATAGTCCGTCTTTGGTGAACGTCAATGACAACGACAAGCGTCGTGCCAAATCGCAGTGCCTACCTATAATTATAATCATGACAAATTTTACGAGCTCGGATCAGTTCTTATCGAAGATCTGGAAATTATTGTAGTTTTTAACATAAACCTACCTATAAAAAATACACAAAACTATATTACTAGTAAATAATAAATACATAAAATAACCACCTTGATCTCTAAGTCATAATTTATTGAATTCTAGTTAGATTCTACTTAATAGAACCTACTCGTAGTTTTAAAAAATATAAATCGCAAAAACATAATATAAAATATTGTAGGAACCTACTGTTAGAGATTAGAGACAAAAGTATCTATGATGTTTATATGTAGGCATCTATAGTAGCTTTTTAAAAAATAAATATGAAAAATCGAGAAAAATACATATGTGAAACGGAGTATGTGATCGCAAGTAAATAGATATGCATTATGTAGTCATACAAGTACTGTACTTAAGTACTTACTGCAGCCTGTAGGTTGTTACACTTGAAATTTTCATCAACTGTTTATATATTAGCGTTATTTATTTACGATTAAATATTCAAAATATGTTGACTTTTTTAAGCTATTTATAAACAGTTAATTTTTTTTAAATGCTTATAAAAAAAATTGGCCATCCAAAAAATCTTTAAAATGTACCTATACAAGGTTTATTAT